TGGTGCGTGCCTGTAGTCCCAGCTACTCGGGAGGCTGAGGCAGGAGAATTGCCTGAACCCAGGAGGCGGAGGTTGCGGTGAGCCGAGATCGCGCCATTGCACTCCAGCGTGGGTAACAAGAGCGAAACTCCGTCTCAAAAAGAAAAAGAAAAGAAAATTTAGTAGAGAGAAGTCTCACTATGTTGCCCAGGCTGGTCTCAAACTTCTGAGCTCAAGTGATCCTCTCACCTCAGCCTCCCAAAGGGCTGGGATTACAGGCATGAGCCACTGCACCCGGCCCAACAAATTTAGTTATGTGTTCATTCTATATTTAGACATAGTTTTTAACTTTTTGAAAGTACACTTTGACAAATCATATGGTATTTTAAAAAATGCATTAAACTTATGCATATATAGGTGTGGGTGGGAGACCCCACAGGAGACCCTGCAAGTGCCGAGGTGAGGGTCTGAAACCTCAGCCTGTTCCCATATAAATATTGAACTAGAAAGAAATATAGTTACAGTTATTCCTATAATCATAAATAATCACATATTCATATGTAATCACAGACATACATATACTCAATATAACCTTTTAATTTTACTAATGATTCTCAGGTCATGAAGTGTGGAAATGAAGTGCCATTGGGAAGGAAGTGACCCGAAGGCGAGATGTTTTAAGTCCTCTGTCACATCCTCATAAGAACTGCTGGAGCACCAGTTCTGGGAAAGCGCCCGCTGTTTAGCCAGTTAGGGAAGGAGATGTCCAAGATGTCCAAGACATCTCCTTCCTCAGGGGAGTGAGGAGAAAATTCCGCTCCTCCAAGCTCTTGTGGTAGGCCTGACGGCTGTCAGGGAAACCCGCAGGCATCCAGGGGCTTAATTGTCTCTACGTGATGCTGCGCTTCAGCGGTCATGTTCAATGTCTAGCTTCATGTTCCGCTTCTGCACCTGGTTCCTCTTTTTCTTAGAAGATAACAGTCACCAACAGTAACATAAATCTTAATGTCCATGTTATTTCCTGACAAGTATGGAAAAAGTGCTGACACATTAAGTTTTCTCCTCGCCTCGGCTACTTGACAGTCCTGGGCCCCTATCTCCAAGACATGTGATTTACTTGACCCAATCACTGACCACCAATGCCTGGCCCTACCTACCCTGCTCCCTGCTTTGTACTCAGTAAAAGTCACAGCGTCCAAGCACTCAAGGCCACTGCTGGCCTCCGTGCTTTGGCTGGCAGTGGACCCCTGGGCCCAACCTCTTTTTTCTCTTTCTTGGTGTCTTATGTCTTTTACTTCCACAGTTTCTCGTTTCCACACCAGTAGAGGGGCTCACAGGACCCAGTAGGGCTGGACCCTACATATATGTACATCTAGATTTATGAAGTTACCATTACCATTACACAAAGAAGGGACTTAAAAGATGCCAGCTCACCAAACTGGTGAAGGGGTTACCTCAGTGGTGGGGATGCAGCAGAAAGACTGTTACATTTTCCTCTGCATGCTTGTGTATTATGCAAGTATTTTACCAGAACATATTCACATATATATATATATGTATATATTCACACATATATACATATATATATACCCCCTTTTTTTTTTTTTTGAAGACAGAGTATCACTCTTGTTACCCAGGCTGGGGTACAATGGCGAGATCTCGGCTCACCGTAACCTCCGCCTCCCAGGTTCAAGCGATTCTCCTGCCTCAGCCTCCCAAATAGCTGAGATTACAGACATGTGCCACCATGCCAGGCTAATTTTGTATGTTTAGTAGAGATGTTGGTCAGGCAAATCTTGAACTCCTAACCTCAGGTGATCCACCAACCTCGGAATCCCAAAGTGTTGGGATTATAGGCGTGAGTCATCATGCCCAGCCTCCACTCAACTTTTCTGAGCCCCCGTTCCTCATCTGCACACTGTGCTCACACTGCCTCCATTGTGGGAAAACTGAGATGTGCACACAAGTGTCTAGCGTGAGGATAGGACAACTAGGGTTGCTGCCACTTCGCCATCGCCACAGGCCCCCACTGGTCTCATAATTCAAAGCACCCCCTGCCACCTGTGAAGCAGTCCTGTACTGGCTGAAATCAGCCCGTGTTCTAGAATCTTGTCCCCTCCCTGTCCTTCCGGTTCTAGAATCCCACTGCTACTCCAGGCCAGGCACTCTAGAATCAAAGGCGCTGATGCTTTTCCTGGGCAGGGCTTGCTTGCTGCAGCTCTCAAGTCTGACTTGCGTGTACACTGTGGGCAAGATGCGGCTGCGGGACCGCATCGCCACATTCTTCTTCCCAAAAGGCATGGTGCTCACCACGGCTGCACTGATGCTCTTCTTCCTACACCTGGGCGTCTTCAGCAGCGACATGCACAACTTCTGCATCACCCACCACTATGACCTCATGAGCTTCCACTACACGGTCGTCCTGATGGTAAGCTCAGGGCGGGGACTCAAGGGCTGGCTGCGGGAGGCCTGAGGGGCTGATGGAAACCCCACTGTTGTGTCGGGGGCCACTCTCCCACTGGATGGGCCTACAGTTCTCCCAGGTGATCAGCATCTGCTGGGCCGCCACGGGGTCACTCTACGCTGAGATGACAAAAAACAAGTATACCTGCTGCTGTGCCATGACCATCCTGAGTGAGTGGCAAGAGGAGGGTGCAGGGGGGAGCAGAGAGCTTTAGAACCCTGAGATGTAGCAGGGAGTAGGCAGGGAAGGGTACTGGGGCTGATGGGAGCTCTGTCCTCCACCCAGCCCTCAATGGAGCAATGTTCTTCAGCCGCCTGTCCTTGGAGTTTCTGGCCATTGAGTACCGGGAGGAGAACCACTGAGGCCTGGGGAGCTGGAACAGGGCTGAGGAGGGGAAGGAAAAGGCTGCCTCGGGTGTTTTAATAAAGTTGCTGTTTATTGCCACCTGCCAACTCCTTCACGGGGTGAGGGGTGGGAGGCTGGAGACCCAGGGGAAAGCAAGTCAAGACAAATGCTTGACTCACGGGGACTCCAGGCCCGGCCTGCAGCCACTCTGGTGGACTCAGCTTTGGGCCTGGGGTCTTAGTGTCTTAGGCTTGAGGGAGAGGAGCAGTGAAGAGGTGCCCCCAGCCTCCCCGCCACCCCGCCTCTCCTCCACAGGAACCAAGTCCTAGGCTGGCCTAGCCACAAGCAAGGGGGCTCAGGAGGGGCCCACGCGGATGTGAGGGTTCATGAGCGGGTCCAGGTTGGGATCGCTGTCAGCTGCAGCCCGGCCTAGGCGAGACATGAGGGCAAGGAGGGCCAGGAAGCCCAGCAGCCCCAAGAGCAGCAGCAGCCCTGCCCGCTGAAGCAGGGTTAGCGGCCGCTTCCGAGACCCGGCCCGGCTCCTGGGGGGGATGAGGGGAAAATCAGGTCAGGCCCCAGCCCCCGGCGGCCCCCACGGCATGGAGAGAAGCCCTGGTCACCACCCATTCCTGAGCCTCCGCCTCCTCGTCTGTGCCTCAGGGATGATCACTCCTGTACCTGCCACCATAGGGTGCTATTGTGCAGCTCAGACCAGCGGAGGCACAGGGCTGTGTTCCGCAAACCAGAATGTGTCAGGCGTCGGGCAGAGTTACAAAGATTAGGGGGTGTCAGATCAGGAAGGGGCCTCAAAGAGCCTGAGTCCAAACCTCCTGTGTGGGAGGCACAGAGACAGCCCCAGAGAGAAACAAACCACAGCTTCTGCTGCGCAGCCAAGGCCTCTCTGCACAGCACCAGGTACTGTTCCTTTCCAGAACAAGCCCCTTTTGTCATGAAACTGTCCCTCCCAAGGCCTCTGGCTCCTACTCCCTCTCTGCCCCTTCCTGGCACTCTGCCCTGCCTGACCCTGTGTACCTTAGCAGCTGGGCCAGCCAACCCAAGGCAGGCCGGCGTCGGTACTTGTCATCGTCACAGTCTCCGTGGAGGCCTGGTGTCCGGTCATCATCTCGTGTGTCATACACCTTCCTTGGGGCTATAGGGTAGAGCCACTAGCATCAATAGATTCAGGAAAACTGGCCACGTTGGGGAGGGCTGGGGGGGTCACCTGCCTTCCTCAGGCTGACAGAGCATCTCAGAATTGTGAGGAGTTAACGGCAGTGCCTGGATTGAGGAAAGGTTCCTCCAGGTGGGTCTCTGGATCCTCAAGCTCCCCCCACACAAACCACTACCCCCTTTTTTATCCTTCTGTGGCCTGGATAACTCCCAGGCTCACCGTGAGTCGAGGGCTCAGGATTGCCCATGTGGATTACTGTGTGCTGCTCGGGCCGGCCTGGGGAAGCCGGGGGACGGGGGGCCTGGCTGTAGAAGGCTGGGGCAGCAGAGGCGCTGTCTACCTCCTCTGGTCCAGGGGTACTGCTGGCTGTGGGTGGGAAGAGAGCTGTCAGCAGAAGCGGGTAGAGCATTTGACTGCAGACCAAGAGAGCTGTCAGCAGAGCAGGGAGGCTAAAGCTCAAACAGCCGGTGGAAGCCACAACTTACCATTAAAGCTGGACCAGTCAGAGAAGTTGGAGGTGTTGAGGGGCTCAGGCTCTGGGCTCACCACCTCATCGATCTGGAGGAAGGAATCTGGGTCACCAGGCTGCCTAGTACTGTCCCCACCCACCCATCTAGCTCAGGTGGGGCCCAGGGCAGATGGATGGTCAGAGGGACTCTCACCAGAGGGAGGCCCAGTCCTGCCCGGGCCCAGTTGACTGTGGCCAGCTTCTCTCTCAGTGTGGAGGCCACGGGGCCAGCCAGGTTGCTTGGGGGGAAGATGGGGCCATTGCAGCTGGGGCACTGGTAGCCGGCAGGTGCTGTGTTTCGGGGTAGTTGGGCAGCACGTTCATTGAGGCAGGCCCAGTGAAAGAGATCTTAGGGCCCATGAGACAGGGGAGAAGAGACATGAGGAAGAGGGCGCTTAGGGCTCCTAGCCTAGCATCAGCCCCCAGACCACTGTAGGGACATATGGACACGTATATGTGTACCAGAGCCTTCTCCTCCCCCTCCTCCTCCACTAAAGGTCCGTTTCATCAGTGTTCCCTAAAACGTCAGTCTTCTTGACTACCACCATCTAAGTCCAGGCAGCTGCTACCAAGCTGTCCAGATCACAGGGGTGAGGTTGGGTGGCAAGAAAATGCCACCTCCCATTGAAGTGAGTCCTCTCTGGGCCTACACTCCTCATACTCTTTGGGCTAATGGCTAATAATGAACAGCTTCAAAAAGGTTCCTCGATGTACACACAGGCACACACATATATGTACATATCCATGTGCACAAATGTACACGTGCTTCTAAGCACATACTCAAACACGAGTGGCATTCCCTATTATCTAGACTATGGGCACCATAGCCCTGACACACATCTATACTCACAGGTTTGCTCACACTCAGGCGCCCTCAACCATGCATTGTCTGTCTTGCACTCCCACAACATACCTGTATTCATATGTTCACATACGTACATTTACTCATTCACTCACCCCCAAGTACTAATCAACACACTAACGCTCATTTAAACACACCATGTTCACTAAATGCCTGCAAGCACACATACGCACTCACAAGGAGAAACACATATGGAGCTGTTTCTTGCATGTGCTCCTTCAAAAATGAGCTGCCAGGCGCGGTGGCTCCTGACTATAATCCCAGCACTTTGGGAGGCTGAGGCGGGTGGATCACCTGAGGTTGGGAATTCGAGACCAACCTGACCAACAAGGAGAAACCCCGTCTCTACTAAAAACACAAAATTAGCTGGGCTTGGTGACGTATGCCTGTAATCCCAGCTACTCAGGAGGCTGAGGCAAGAGAATCGCTTGAACCTGGGAGGCAGAGGTTGCGGTGAGCCCAGATCATGCCACTGCACTCCAGCCTGGACAACAAGAGTGAAACTCTGTCTCACAAAAACAAAAAACAAAAACAAAAACTGGAGCTAAGGCTCTTATCCCAGATTCAGGTCAAAGTCATGACACATATGTCTGCTGACTTCTTTTAGCTAACTTTAATGTGGGAAATTCACTTCCTCTCTGTTTAGCCCTGGAATCAGTGTTGGATCCTAAATATCTGAAACCCTGAAAGCTACATGCCGGTCTGGCTAGCTAATAGTCACAGCCACCAACATACCCATAAGCTTGACTGGCTCTTGCTCAACCCTCCAGATTGGCAGTGTTTTAATTTTTAGGAAAGAGGAACTAGGAGCTTTACTTTTTAGGAAAGACAGTGAGGCCTAGAAAGGAAGAATAACTTGCCTGAACTTACAGAGCAGGTAAGGAACTTTAACAGGACTAGAATCTGGGCTCTGAGACTTGGGGGAATCACTGTCCTGCTGCTTGAGAAGGGCCTGGAAACCAGTCACCACCAAGCTGGCCCCTGAGGCTGGCTGATCCCCCCAAGGTGCCAAGGCCTCACCATAGCAGACAAGGCGGGTCGTCTCCCGGCTGGCCAGGGGTATGTTGCACAGGCGGCAATTGGGGTTGTAGTCGCTATCTTGGAGCCACTGCAGGTAGGACTGGACGATGCACTGGAGTGGGAGAGAGAGGTCACAACTGGTGCTGGTGCTGCTCGGCCTATCACCCCAAGGTCCAACAGCCTCTTTTTCTCTAGTCACAGAGGAGACTCATCCTTTCATTTGTTCAATCAATAAACATTTATTGAGCACATACTGTGTGCCGGACTCTCTCTTGGGGCCAGGGGATATATCAGTGAACAAAATAAACCAATTCCTTGCCCTCGTGGGGCTTACATTCTAGCACAGGGCCCCTTATGGATCTGGAGGAAGCCAATACCGCCTGCCCACCCAGTGCCCTGCTCAACCGCTCCCCTGAAGGCCCCACCTTGGCGTGATTGGCTACCAGGCAGTGTTCGCAGACGTTGACCCGATGTTCGAAGCAGAATAGGTTGGTCACCTTTCTCTTGGGGCACTTACAAAGCCCCATGATCGATCCTGGGAAAGAGAGTTGGTAGGAAGCCAGGTTCTGGTGGCCGCCACTACGCTTCTACCAGCCCAGTTTCCACTTAACTCCCCAACACCTCTCATATTCGCCCCGACCCCAGATTCCTGCTCACTGCCCTTCCTTAGGCGGCGAAACATTCCCAGCATAAATCCCGCCTCCGGCGACCCCCTCAATCCTTCTGGTTTCCACCCCCGGCCAGGTCCCTCCATTAGCGACTCCCCGATACCACCGGCCCCGCCCCCAAGGCCCCTCCTGAGCCCCACCCCCTCCAAGCCCCGCCCCTTCTCTACAGACCCCAGTCTCTGTGTTTACTGATTGGCCGCTGCACGAGTTCCGAAGGGCGCTAGAGATGGTTCTAGGAGCGGTAGGGCAGGCACCACGCTCCCCGAGGCTTCTGCTCCGCTCCCTTCAGCCTCGGCCGCTTCGATTACCCCTCCGCTGCCACGTCTCTTCCGGGTGCGGCGCGCGCTGATGACGCCATCGCGCCCCTGGGCCACGCCTCCATGACGCTAGACGTGAAGAGGGGTGGAAAAGACTGGGGGGGGTTCCGAGCGCTGCGGAGCTCTCGCCCTACGTCACTTCCGCTTCCTTCCCCGCAGGGCGGGTAATTCGAACGTTTCTTGCAGCGAGGGGCCCTGCCGGTTGGCGCGCGCCCGGGGCGGCGGCGCTGGAGGAGCTCGTTACGGAGCCTAGTTATGTCTGGGAGGCGAACGCGGTCCGGAGGGGCCGCTCAGCGCTCCGGTGAGCGGAGGGCGTGCGGGAGACATGAGGTCGAGCCGTTTGGGGGACGCGGTCCTGTGAAAGATGGCCCTTCCCTCCCGCTGGTGCCGCCGCCGGAGGAGGCGCCCTTAAAAGGGCTTGTTTGGGAATCTTCTCGCTTTCTCTAGAATCTGTTCTCTGGACTCTAAGACCTAGAGTCCTCCTTTACCTCGTAACTCTTTTCTTTTTCCAGGACCAAGAGACCCATCTCCTACTAAGTCTGTGA